TTTTGAATCCCTGAGCTCCGCAGATTCCGCGCCACTTGAGCCGCTTCACGCCCAGTCTCTAGCCGTCTGACTCTAGCCGTTCAGCAGAGAGAGCGTTGGCGTCGCAGAGGGCACCGATGAGAGAACCGTTCAATGCGGGAATCAATGGGCAAAGAAAGGTTATGAGTCCACGAAGAAAAAAATTATTTTTGGAAGATGAACGTGCTACATCAAAAAGACAATAGGCCGGTAGACGAGAGCAGAGGCGACACAGCATGAGAACGACCGAGACGCAGAGAACCAGCTACATAGATTGCTACTTCGCAAGTTCAAATTTAGGCAAACGTAGGCCTCATGCAACCAAATTTGGGAGCGAAGGGCTGCCATATCAAGCAATTCGGTATATTTCGTTTAAATTACACCAACAGCGTTGAGTACTTGTCTTGAAAGCGTCATTGGTGCCTAGACCATCTTTCCAAGGAACCTGTCGGGCCACTTCTTCCATATTCGATTGTGCTGGCGCCGTGTGCCCCTGTAGTGGGCCACCCTTCGTCACCTTCACATATCCAGTGACCAGAAGGAAGAAACGTTTTCTGTGAGGCTTCTTCTTTCTATTTCGAAGCACAGGGCTATTCGTGGGGGATTAAAGGCATGCCCCAGGATCACATTGGTGTGGCTCTTGCACACGAATGCGAATGTATTGGTGCGAAGTGGGCCGGCAGTAAAGAAAAAAGGAAAAGAATCCGTCAAAACGCTTAGGTTAAGGGCTCACTCACCTTCCTAATCGGCTGTGCTAAGGGAATGAGAGACTAAGCGCGGAGAGGAGAGTATGAGGCGAGAGAGCGCTACAGATGAGAGAGCGCCAGACAACAGCCTGATAAGAGAAAAAAGTCTGCAGCTTGGGCAGCTTACTTTGCAAGGCCCAAGCGCTCTTGTCGGTTGGTTTCCGTGCACGGGAACGCCACATTTGTGATTGTCCTCTAGGGGTCTATACTACAGACCGAAGGAAGCGTTCACACGACCTCTGCCTGGGTTGTGCCTTTAAGTCGGCGTAAGAGTGGTTGATACGCAGGCGAATACGCAAATTCATCGACCAAGTTTTGGGTCACTAGAAAGTGAACATTCGCTTATGAACGGCGTTGAGCTTTCTAAGATTTGTTTTCTGGTCAAATGTGTATTTGGGAGAATTCGTATTCGGGAACGTGGAAAAGCTTCAGGGCATCAACAACTGCCATTGCAGTCGCCTCACTCTTTTACTATGCATCGCCAACTGTGTTACTAATCAGCCACTGATCAAGTTATTTATTATATTAGTTATTCATTTGCAGTTAGTTATTAACACCTGTCCTTATGGTTCTTGACACAGTTGCTCCAATCTCAATTCACATACATTTAGTGGCACTGTTACCTTAAGAGATCGATTTGTTCACCTCCTTTTCGATGTCATCCGAAAATACACAAGAAAAGCT